CGATGTGGGGCTCGATCCCAGGACCCTGGGATCATGACCTGAGCTGAAGGCAGACGCTTAACGACTGAGCCACCCAGGCGCCCCCTCACACTATTTCCATTATCAATGCACAATGAACCTATATTCACTTTTGGATTATCATAATTTTCATATATATATACACATATATACATATATCATATATACATATATGATGTATACATAATAGATTTTCCTAGATAGTTCTGATTTCAGTTATTCTGTGCCTATTCTGTTCCTACCAATTAGGGAGAACAAATGCATGGCATGCACCTTGCTATTCACCATTTCCATTCCCACGTCAGGCATTGATCATCATCACTCTTTCTGGCCAGATACAGATCCATCCTCAGAATCCTTTTCAAATCACAGGCAGCCACTACCACTTGACCAAATCTAGCACTCAAGTAGAAACCTATTTTCTGACCCTGTAATCAATCTTAGAGTTCATAGAAATTTCTTTACTTTCAGCATCCAAATTTCATCTTCCAAATCATCATTCAAACCCTAAAAAGTTAAAAAATTCCTGTACTAAATGATATGCAATTTTTAGTTTGAAGTGTGTGTTAGTTAAGACCCAGTCAGGAAAGCAGCACACATTTTTAGGAAATTCAACAGAGGAACTTCAAATGAGAAAGGTTTTGGAAGAACAGAAAAGGCATGTAGAGAATCATGGGGCAATCCAAAGATGAGCAACAAGAGGAAGCAGCTCCTACTTTGAGAAGATGAGGTCCTGTTGCTGAAGCTCAGGGGGTGGAACCACCTGAAGGGAGCTAAAAGCATGGCGGGAGTTTGCTGGAGGGGGTCTGAGATCAGAAAGGCAGCTGGAATCATGAAGGAAATGCTGGAGACACTATCCAAGTCAGAGAGGGAGAAGCACCCTGGCTTGCTCCCTCTTCCTGTCCTCCAGTCTTCTTCCCGAAGTGCCTCCATTACCCCACTGGACTGGAAGCCTGCTAACCCGGGAGTCTGGGAAGTGTAGTTTACAAGAGTCAACTCTATGTGATACTGAGCAGGGCAGCTGCAGAAGTTTGGAAAATGGATCTGAGGACAAAGAGGCAGTTGGCTTTTGAGGAATGTAGACACCATTACCATGTTATACTCAACAGTCCCTAGGACAAATGCAGTTAACGCATGTCCAATCTAGTCTTACTCTTGGACACTTAGGTTCTGCGACATCACCAGGGCATTGCGTGAGGTGGTTTCATCCCTCTATGGGTAGGTCTCAGAGTACTGTCTAATCCATCGGGCAGCAAGAGCCTCAGGGTCACTTGACATCTGAATCCTTCTAAACAAAAGAAGTTGCTCCTAATTATTGAGCGCAGAACATGGCTGAGGTTCGCCTAGCGGGAAAGGTAGTAAGGGATTAGGTACACTGATTCATAGCCCTGTGTGAACAGGCATATTCATAAACTCCAACAAAGGGCAGTTTTGGTAAAGAAATATAATGTCAGAATGTGTCCATTCTTAGGGAATCAATCCAATTAGAGCATACACTGCAAAGTCCCAGAACAAGGAGGACTTTTTTTTTTTTCTCACTTTGGAAAAGTGCAAACATTCTATTCTATTCTATAGAATGCTGAGGTTTCCTTTGACACTAAACTGCTCCTTCACTGGTGCAGCTGAAATGACAATCAGTTAGGCACTGATGATGGGAGCACAGTTGGAGGCAGGTTAGCAAACTCAGGGCAGGTTTGCAAACTCAGGGATTGAATAAACAAGTCAAGCCAGGCTGCCCTGAAGGGCAGGAGACTTCTGTTCCCCAAGTTCTCCTTCAAGTGTTGGATGCATGCAGAACACAGAGGACCAGCCAAACTACCCCTAAAGCCCAATACAGGGCTACGATGAACATACAGAGCGAGAGTCACAATTTTGAGGTCTGCATGACACTCATGTGACAGACAAAAAACCAAGCCAAGTACAAACAAACAAAAAAAGAAACAATTGTGCTTGGCTTGTGAAAACTAGTTGTTTTCTTAATGGTAGTGGTTAAGTGTGCCCTGATCCAGCATTCAACCACATTCTCTCCTGTTGCCTGAGAGGTTAACAGGCCAGTGATCTGTAAAAATCTCAATGGGAGTTTTTCCCTTTCTAGGAAACTCGGGGAGAAACAAACTCATGGGCGGGGGTGGGCTGGGGGGAGGGCAGTGTGGTGCAGTGGTTAGAGTCAGATCGTCTTTGGTGGAAGTGCCTGTCCTTCCACTTAGCTGTGACCTTGGGCAAGTTATATCAGGTCTCTGTGACTTTGCTCCCTCCTACTGAAGAGTATTAAGTTCACAAGATTGCAGCAAATACTGAAGAATATGATGCAGTGAAGTGTTTAGCACAAGCGCCTGGCACACATTAAGCGTGGGGTGAGCACGTCACATCCGGGAAGTTCCAAATGCAAAGGGACAGAAAAACAAAGACACCCTTCCCTTCCAGTATTTCTTTTTGATTCCAAATTGTCTTCTCCCTTCTCTTTCTTTCTTTTGCTGGCCCTGGAACTAGCATCACTTCTCCGCCCCCACTGCAACTCAAACAGAGTTTCCGGGGAGGTTCCTGAGGTTCACCTGCTCAGATGTATTGGGATGAGCCCACCCTTCTTTCTGCTCCCCTCTGTCGGAGCACAGACTCACCTTACTGGCAAGAGGCATGTTATGCATATGTAGTCCCAGCCTGCAGACATCCTTCTCTTCTTTTCGTGGTGAGTTCACGCCTGGGGCAGGGCAACCTCGATGCTCCATCACGGGCTGGAATTTTTTTGGCTCCCGGTCAGATCCCCCTTTACTTAGCAGACCCCCTTAGTGGCTTAAAACAATCGTGGTCTTATTCTGTTGCATAATACTGGGGTCAGGAATTAAGGCAAGGCTTGGCAGGGTGATTCTTCTCTTCCATGTGACATTGATGGAAGTTGATGGGTGGTATGCAACTGGCAGAGAGACTGATCGTGAGGGTCCAAGCCAGCTTCAGTCACGTGTCTGGTGCCTCAGCAGGAATGTCTAGAAGGCTGGCTTGGCTGGAACTGTGGACCACGGTGCTTCCTCGTGACCTCTCCAGGATGGTGGCCTCAGATTTCTTATGTGATGGCTCAGAGCTCTGCGAGCCAGAGTTCCAGAGAAGGAGGCAGAAGCCCCAAGGCCTTTCTGACTCAGGCTGGGAAGTCACCCAGCCAGATTCAAGGGGAAAGGCAGTAGAACACACTTCTAGAGGGGAAGAGTTTCAAAGGATTTGTGGTCATGTTTTAGAACTGCCACCGTGTTCACCTTTGACTAGTTCCTGCTTGCTTGGGGAAAAGCACTCTCATCATTACTTGGCAAGAAGGCCTACTGAGTGTGCAGGCACTTCATCTCTGGGTTTTGAGGACAAAGAGAATCACATGTTTTGGGGGCAGCAGAGAGAACAGCTATTTAAAGTTACATGGTAGAGGGAAAAAAAAGTGTTTGAGTGCTTGGGCTGCCCAGCATGCAGCATTTCATAAGAGCCAGCCTATCCCAAATGCCTCCACAGAGTACAAGACAGGAAAGTGACAGGGAGGGCCTTTTGCAACATCTGCCTTAGACGCCCAAAGAGAAATTTTGTTGCCTCCCATCATCCTGTACTTCTTGGCCATGGTTCTCTTCAGCTTGGTAATGATGGGCTCGATGTCTCCCTTTCCCCCATAAAACGCCAGGTTCTGTGATGAAGAACAAGCTTGTCCTACTCACCAGCATACCCTCGGCACTGTGCATGGTGTGCAAAATACAGCAGATAGGCAATAAATAGATTTCATTGGCTGATTATCTGGATGGGGATAGAGAAGATGAGAACCACTCCTACATAATACAATTTGCTGTCAGGTGTTTAGCTTTTTTTTTTTTTAGTTAGCATGACAGGCTATAAGGCCTATTTTGGCATCTGAGATGCTGAGATGGACATTTTATTTATTTTTTATTTTTTTAGATTATTTATTTATTTATTTGTCAGAGAGACAGAAAGAGAGAGAACACAAGCAGGGGGAGCAGCAGGATCCCCGCTGAACAGGGAGCCTGATGTGGGGCTCGATCCCAGGACCCTGGGATCATGACCTGAGCCAAAGGCAGGCGCTTAACCCACTGAGCCACCCGGGCATCCCAGAGGTGGAACATTTAAAATGGGGATAGTTTCCCAGTAGGTCCAACCAGATCACTCTGATTTCTGAAGGACAGAAGGTAACATCCACACACCTGACACTTACTAACAGCTTTGTTTATTATTTAGTTGATTATTCCATGTTTTTATAATCGTACAATAATTCTCTTTGAAACAATACTGTTACACCTGAAGTTGGTCACATTATATCCATCCTTCCTTCTATAGTAGTAAAGTGGGGTTTTTTTCACACTCAGTTTTTTAATAGAACATTTGAATATCGAGAAGTGTGCTTAACTAAAAATAACAAATGGACCAAACTCTGTGAAAAATGGTCATACACTCAGTTAAAGGTTTAATGCTATTCTGGGGGTCACATACATTCAAGAGGAGACACCATGGTCTCGTGGGGAGCCCAGAGCTGGGGGCATGTGGTGGGTACAAGTGACTCCCTAAGACCTGTTTGGCAGCTTGGAAATTTGAGGTTTAATACTGGTCCAGTGCTGTCACCTTTCTAGTCAGGATGGGTCCCTCCAGGCAAGCTTTGGGAAATGTCATCAGGGTGTGATCGATGGATGGTGTCTTCCCAGGGCCAAATCCTGCAGTTAAATCCTCAGGGGAACTTAAAAGACTGTCTCCTGCCCCATTCATATTGGCCTTACTTTTTACCTGAAAGTAGATGGGACCCAGCCCTAGAGCCTGTGGGTATAGTGTGTGTGTAATAGATGTGAGTAGTGCATGTATGTGTAATGTATGTACATATAGTGTGTGTTAGTGTATGTACCACGTGTGTAATGTAGGTGTACACTGGGTGTGTGTGTGTACAGTCTGTGTAACGTGTGTGTATAATGTGTGTGTGTAATGTAGGTGTACACTGTGGGTGTGTTTTGTGTATAATGTGTAATGTACATAATAGTGTGTGTGTAGTGTGTGTGCGTGCAAAGCACACGTGCCACAAGGAGGACACAAGGGGACAGAGGAGGAGGAAGAGGGTCAAGGAGAAGGAAGGGACGAAGGAGGAAGGGTGCGACTGGAGAAGAAAAAGATAAAATAGATGAAACCTGGAGGGGCTCAGGGGAGAGAATGAGCCTCCTTGATTTTAATAAAACAGAAGGAGCGGACAGAGAAGGGTAACCCTGACGCCACTCCCTGTCCTCCAGCGGCAGCCCGTCGGCTCCGGTCTCCCCCCACCACGCGGCAGGAGGGCAGCGCGGCCCTGGGCTCCCACCATGCTGCGCTGAGCCCGTTTTGTGGGCAGACTTGAATCCGGGGGGCAAGACGGTGGCAGCAGCACAGACCGCTCTCCCCTTGGCCTTGCCTACTGGCTGGGCTCCAGCTGCCTGTGGCACCGCCCTCTCTGGGGAAGGTCAGGATGTCCCTTTAGGTGCTTTACCCGAGGCCCTGCCCTGACCATGGATGCCACGGCCGAGGTTTCTGCTAGCCTTCGATCTGGAAGTGGAGGCATTTCGGAGGCAGGTACATTCCAGAATGCCCGACAAATCTTTCCGCCTTTTTAGGGAAAGACGTGGGGAGGGGAGCCAGGCGGCCTGCAGTCTGCCCCCAGGCTCCACTCCTGGGCCCCAGGGGAGGGCTCCCGCCGCAGACCTGGTGCGCCCGAAGGGTGCTCCAGCTGCAGAGTGAAGGGTGCACCGCGGGCACATCTGTCCCAGGCGGGGCAGGTCCCTGTGGAGCTTACAGATGGGACAGCTGCCTGCCACAGGCAAACTGGCCCAGGGCTGAGGGTGGCAGAGGACTCCCGAGTCCGACAGCCTGAATCCCTATCGCGGCCCAGGCGGAGCTCAGGGAGGCATTTGGGGCAAGTTGCATGACCGCTCTTTGCCTCCGGTTCCCCATCACCGCAATGGAGCAATGGAGCCGGGAATAGCTCTTCCTTGGTGGTGGGGCTGGGAGGGGAGGCGGGGGGCGGGGGAGGATGTCGTGAGGATTCAGCGACATGAGAAGTGCTCAAGCAGTGTCGGGGGTATAGTGAGCACTTTGTGAATGGGATCTGTTATTATTATTTAGAAAAAAACCAGTATAGTTCAATATAGATCCTCCGTCTCTTTCCTGACCTTTCTATTGTGCTCCCAAATGAGGAGCCCTGGTCAAAGGCAGGGTGGCTGAAGGTGTGTGTTCAGGCCTCTGAGGTGTGTGGGGACAGTTAAGGCCATCGCTGGGCCACATGGCCCTCACAGCTCTTGCAGAAAGGCTGGGCTTCCTATTAGCTGGGCCACCACTTACGCCCATGGCAGCAACACTAGGGTCGTGGGGCAGAAGAAAGGGCTGGGCCCCTACTCGCCATCAGAACAAAGGATTTGCAAAACTAGCAAAATAATTAAGCAAATTTAGCAAGTGAGAAATGGACATTAGTTATTTGTGTGTGTGATCAGTAATTGTTTTAGTTCACTGAAACCCTGACATGGAGGTCTCAGCCCCTCCTGGACGTCGTCCAGGGACAGTGACGCGGGCACTAAAGAGAATCCAGGCATGTGATACACATTGGTGGTCTGGAGAAGTTCATCCTGGAGGTACAGGAGTTTTTAGAACAATCAGCCCTACTTCTTCTCTAGAATGTAACTGCTAACTAGTCTCCCAGGTAAACTGTTTGGAAGGTGCATTTGACAGGTAGCATTTTGTTGCCTCTTAAAGATCTCATACTATTTGGAGGAGAGGCAGAGACCCGCCAGAGGGAGATTTCATCCCAATCCTGTCTTAAAACGGGTGAGGACCTAAAAATTCCGACGACTTGCTGGGACTCATATTGGAGGCTCAGTTCACCTATGAGGTGTGAATCGAGCAGTAGGGAGGCCTGCACGGGGAGACCATGAGGCCTACACAGAGACCACCCTCCCGATTTTCTCTTTGTCATCTTTCTCTGTGAGCAGAGCTTAGGCTCCCAGAGTGAGATGCTTCCTGAGGAATGCTTGTGGCTGGGGCCTGAGGCCAGTCTGGTGACATTCTGGCCTCATTTCTGTCCCCAATTGTAATGGACTCAGGGATTCAGTGAGCCCGGGATGCCTTAACCTGATAGACCTTTCATCGGAAGCATGGCAGAACTCGAGCTTTGTGATGAACCTCTTGGGAAAAAAAAAATAAATGAAACAAATGAACTATAAAACAAGCCCCAAAGTAATCCCCTAAAGAGAAATGGCACTGCATGAGGCTGCTGGTTGGCAGGTCTACTGATCATGCAGATGGAGAACATCATACCAAAGAAGTTCCACAGGGAGCAAGGATCAGTTTCTCCCTGGTTTAGATATTGCCTCTCCCTGGTTTAGAGGTTTTAATGTTCCATTAAAAAATACTAAAAATCCACAGACCAACCCAGATGTTCCTCTCCTCGCTTCCTGCTTCCTTTTGGCAGCCACCGTCTGGCCTCGTGGCGTTAGATGTCTTTGCTGTCCCCATAGTCGTTGTAAGGGACGCTCAGGGTCTGCTCCTCACATGTCTTCCTGAGGTCCCGGCTGAGCTCTGACCAGTCGAGTCCATAGGGCTTGATCTCGCTGTAGCGGCAGCCCAGGTACTTAAGGGAGCCTCGTCGCAAGCTTATCTTGGGTTCCTGAAGGAGGCCATTGCACCAACTGCTGAGATCCCCCAGCTGGGAAAGGATGAGGCCAGCTTTCCTATGGAGAGCACGGAGGATACTTAGATTAGAAAGAAGAGAAGGCGGGGAAAGGCGCATAGGCCTTATTAGAGTGAGACTTAAAACTCCCAGAGGGCAGAGTCTGGTGTTTCCTGCTTCCTGTTCTATCACGGGCACTCAGAACTCATAAATACCTGTCTAGCAAATGGATGGACGGATGGATGGACAGATGGATGGACGGATGGATGCAAGAACAGTCTGGCTGTGCCCAAAGTGGGACAGGCACCCAAGCAAAAGAGAGAAAAAAAATGCCATTAGGAAAAATAAAGAAAAGAAAATAACTACTATTTTGGTGGGAATTTATGCCCTTTTAAAATCATAGAGTTGGCAGTTTTGAAAGACAAATCAAATCCATTTTCTTTACAGCCAGCAATTTACCATCATTAAATGACAAATAATGTGTTTGAGTGAATATTTCCCTTTTCCAGGCTATTTTAGAACTAAGCAGAAACAGCTGATATACTGAGCCTTGGAGGGTATCAAATGTAACTGATTATGCCCGGATGGAGGGTGTGACAGCGAAATACCGGTGAAGACAACAATGCCCTCTGTGCGCACCGACACAGGGCCCTTCTGGGGGGAAACGCAGACTCTCAGAGGCCCACGTGACCTAATTCGTGTTCAGGTGGTCCCCTGCTCCACTCTGCCTTCTCCCTTGGAAAGCCAGGCGGCCATGGCCACTGAGACCCAATCCAGAGAGGGGGGAAAGAGGGGGCCTGTCGCAGATCGCGGGGGCGGGGGGGAGAGAGGAGCGGAGGAGAGCAAGGTCGCTCCAAGTTTGCACATGCTGGGGCGCAGTGATCCCTCTGGGCCAACAGGAGAGCCGGATGGCCTCTGCGTGCAGCCTGGGGAAGTCGGCTGTCCCCACAGTCGTCTTGCTGGTGCACAGCCTTCTTCTCCGAGCCCACTGCCAGTGTCAGAGACAGGGGCTCCTGTCATCCAGCTGTCAGAGCTCACCAGCTCTGAGCAACAGAACAGTGTTCCCTCGCTCAGCTCCGTCCCTCCTGTTCTTCAAACCCCTAAGTGCCCAGAGAGCCACGAAGTCTCTCTTCTTTGAATGAGCTCCTGTAAAATGCAGTTCTGAAAAAGCTCAATGAACAGCATCCTTTGCAGTATTTATCACCTGCTCGGCTAACTTCTCATGTGAAGAACCAACACTTCTAATTCGGTCACTGATTCTTTCCAGAAAATGGAAGTTTCTGCACTCCGTGGAGAATGACCTTTCAAAGAACAATAAGCACATTCGTTTCATTCCTCCCCTTCTGTCTGGCTGTGACCACCACCACGAGGTGGTGACCTCACCGCATTCCTGGGAGGACGCCCTGAGAGGGGCAGAGATGACGCTGGAGGAAAGGTGTGGAGAGTCAGCAGCGGAGTCCAGGGGTGGAGAGAGTGAGAGGTCATCGGAGGGCAGTCGTATTTTCTCCCACTTCAGTGGTGGGTCAGAGGAAGTCAAACACTCTGCCTGACACCTACTTAGCATCTCCTGCAGATGGTCTCTCCTCCGCCTATTTGCCTCTGCGGTTTGGCCAAGCAGGCTTCCAAAAGTCGTCATCAACCGGACTTTGGTGGCCCTTCCTCTTAATTTATCCCACTACATGTCATTAGTTGTTGACAAATTCTTGGAAGGTGGAGGGAGAGGGAGCGAAGGGAGAATGAGGGCAGCATGTGCATCATCCTCAAGACAAGGACACAGGAAAAGAAAGAATTTGACTGGCCCATGGAGATTTTGTGGCTACTTTCATAGGTCACTTTAAAAAATAATAATTCATTTGGGTCTGCCCTTGGTCATCTCAGAGCCTGTGGATTTCTTCTTTCTTAGTAGCAACGCAACCAGTGTTGTTGTCCAAGTATTGCAACCCTCAAGTCGATCTGGAGGCCTCCATGGAAGTTAAGGGAATGGATTTAACTGAACTGAGGGGGTCCTTTCTGCCTGCTCACAGGGAGTGTGTAGCCCACAGAACCTCTTCTGTTCACGCTCACGACCAACTCCAAAGGTGGTGGATGCATCTCAAGGCAGAGGGCTTTTCCCTTCCTGTGGTTCTCCCCATGACACTGGCAAGTAAAACTTGATTTCCAGAAGCTAATGAAATTACACACTGTCTTCTAATACAGAGCCTTGAAAAACCAGCATCACACATGCAAGGGTCTCCAGGGAGGAGAGTCTGGGAAGAGAATGTCAAGTCAGCAGCACGCCTTACTTTGCAGGGGGATCCACACTTCTTCCCCTGCTCACTTTCTTTATTAACCAATTTTCCTTCTGACTCTTGAGTTACAAGAGAGAAATTTTAAAAGCAATCCTAATGCCCTTGGAAATCAAGATGATATATGCAATGTTAGTGCTATTCAAATTGTGACATTTATGTTCCCTAACCGAAAACTGTATATATACACTCAATAAGTGTCAGAAGGATGGAAGAAAGGAGGAGGGGAGCGGGGGAGGGGGCAGAGTGAGGTGGGTGGGGAGGGAGCTAGGGAGAGAAGCAGGGAGAGGGGATAATATTAGGCATAAGTAATTATGAGGGCAGGAGTAATAAGGTATGGAGCAGAGAGGACATATCTTAATACATACCAACTTTCTAACCCAGAGTTTGCTTTCTCCTGAAACTGAGACAAAACCAATGAAAAGTCCCTTATATATTTCCCTCTGTGTCCTGGTCCACAGCTGTGGCATCTGTTTGCCTGAGGACTATCAACCTTTATAATAACTGCAGGAAATAATCTATGGAATGCAGAGAGATTCTTCCTAAACTTACACATGAACTCATTGCATTTCGGAAGATAATCCTAAACTTCTTCCTCCTTTCAAAAGTAAGAGAATTTCCTGTCCTGGGAATGTCCTGAACAATGGTCTTCTGGAGAGTTGATAATTTCAGGTGACGAGAAACACACTGACACTGGGTCTCCCTCCAGTTCGATCAGCAGTCAGATAGATGGGACAACTTTTGGGTGATACTTTCGGGCAGCCTCTTGGCAGGAGTGCAAGAATTCTTTAAGTGCCAGAGAATTCCATTGCGTTGATTGTCTTCATTTGCTTTCCTTTTTTTCCCCCTAAAAATAGTCCATGCACTCCCCCTTTTGGACATATAGGCCCCAACATTCCATGCAAGTCTCTTTCACTGAATCTATCTGGTAATTCCAGTATTTCCACCAAAATCTGTTTTTCTCAGAGCAGGAATATGTAGCCATGATGAATGAAACAAAAGGAAGATGGTATCTGTACACATTCCTCCAATTCCTCTTTCCAAGAATGCTATCTGTGTTGTATAACCTAAAAGCAGTGGGTACTGAGTATTGAAAAGTCATAGCCTCGGGGCCAGGGAACTCTGGCAAACACTATACTGTCCTAACTTTGGCCAACATAGATGTCAAGGTGGGTCTTGGCCACCCCCACGTTGTCTTTCCAAAGGATGTGCAATTTAGCTGAAAACATGTCTATATAATGCATATTGTATATGCAAAGCTCATACACAATAAATAGTTTCGGATAACGATAACCTCTTCAATAAAATTCCTAATTTTCTTTCACAGCTCCTACTGTTTTTAGCATTTAGAATGCTGTGTCAGCATGATAAAGAGGTGGGTAAAACAGGTCAAGGGCAAAGATTTTTTTCAGAGTTCAGGAAATGTATTCATGACTTCCCTACTTAAATACAGCTTATCCAAACTGATCTATATGAACTGAGCTGTATAAAAGCACAGGACTTACTTCTCGGAGCACCTAAGCTCACCCAGGAAATCTCTGTGAATCCATGGGTACAGTATGATAGTGTACAGAACTTCAAAGAGCCGACATCTTTGTAAGAGGCAATGATGTTTGTGTTACCTGGGGCCTAATTCATCCTCACACCGCCAGGTGAATTCTCCAAAACTCTCATAGTGCTGGTTATAGTGGTAGAGGACTCGATGTAGGGTGGGGGAACCCAGATCCAGGAGGGTGTTATAGGCCGTCTGTTGCTCCTTCCCACTGGTATAGCCATTGAAGAGATTGTAGATCTTGTCTGCTATTTCTGAGGAGGGCAGAAAAGGCAAATAAATAACATTTTAAATACATGTATATATACACACAACGTATATGTGTGTACGTGTATAGAGACGTGTGTATATCATATTTACACGTATACGTGTGTGTGTATGTGTGTGTGATGTTGCTTAAAGAATACTGAACCTGAAGCCCGGAGACTGTGGTTTGAGTAACTCACTTTTATCTTAGCCCCATTGGTTGTTGCTCTCTTTTCTAAAAAATGAAAACCTTCAAATAAATATCTCTGAGGTCAACTTCAGTTATAATATTCTTTGTCTTTACCCATGTTTCCTGAAAATACAGTGCCTGTGGCAAAAAGATCTCAGAGGAATACTTTATTGGCAAGTGCAGTCCCGGGGACGCTGGAGGGAGGACAGAAGGAAATGAGGTGAGAAAGGAGGCTGAGGGGAATGTAGGGGGCATGCTGAGGAGCAGGTGGCATGCCTTGCAGAAGAGGAAGCTGCTGGATCCCCACCGGTCCATCCAGGGGGAGAATGGAAGACTTTATCCTCAGCTCCCCTCTCCGATTTCTCTGTGGGGCCTTTTCACGTTTGCCCCCCTTGAGGCATTAGCAACCCTGCACTTCCAGGTCACATATGCCGGAGGACCAAGTGGGTCCTGCAAAAGCACGGAGAAGCCAAGGGGGGCAGAAATTTGGCTCAGGGATGGAGGGAAGCACTGTGAGGTGATGCTTGAGCAACATGAAGAACCAGGAGTGGCCGCAGTCCCAAAAGCAACGCGGCCCCCTTATTGCAGGACTGCAGAGCCTTCGCTAGGGCTGCCCAGACCAGACACGAAGACAAGCTTGCAGATGTGTGGTGACACAGAAGCAGAATCCAGTACATCCTGCAGTCCAAATGAGTAATCTTTCAGTTTAATTTATAACTCTTAGATTTCTCCCCCAAGGCGTACATTGCTAAGACCGAACTTGGTGATGTGGCAAAGTGGCAATGAATTTGTATAGCCTTGGCATTTTTTCCTATGGAGCTTGAAGCACTTTATCATTAAATGTTTTCATATTAAACCTGTCAGAGAGAAGATTTGTTCACATTTCCTTCCTCAACAGCTGGGAACTGAGATCTGGAGAGCAGAACTCTGTCTCCGATCCAGTGTTTAATCTGGGGATGCAGAAACTAAGTCTATAGGTTTCCAAGCCAGCACTTTGCCCACTTGACCCCCTGGTCAGCCAAAAGGCATAGCAACCTGATTCCTTGTCACAGTTCCAAGTGAATTCTGGGCTGTTGGTAAGTACAAAGTCATTGTTGTAGGGGTTTTCTGGGTTGGAAGGAAGAAAATTTCTACCCCTACTCTGTCCAGACACTGCAATGATTTCCTTACTTTTCTATCTTGCCCATTGCCTATGAGGACAGGAGCTTACTTCTACCATGTCCTGAGTGGCTAGCACAGGGCCAAACAACATAGTAGATTAAAAAAATGTTAGTTAAATGAATGTAATTCATGATCTTTCCAGTGCTCCCTCTCCATCCCAGGCTCTACCAATCCTTTAGCAACCAAACTCTTGTAGCCAGCAGCTTAACTGCATTATAAATAACTTTGGTCCAGAAATCCATTTAGATTTTCAAGATTTTTAAATTCTCAGGTTGTTAAAATAGGATCAAGAGATAAAGTGGACGGTGCCTTAGAACATAAAGATCTATGGTATCCCCAGTTACTTATTAATGGCCTACTGATTGTCAAGAACTTCACATATATGAACTCCAATCCTCATACCAACACTGCAAGATGGATATGAATGTCCCTCTCCTCCACACGAGGACATTCAGAGAGAGGCTGAGAGAGGCCAGGTGATGTACCCAAGGTCATATGGCCAGTGTGGGCTGGAGTCAAGATTTAAAACCATGTCTATCTTCCATTGCTCTTTTGTACCAATGCTCAGGGGATGGTAGTGTTTGGCCAATTTAAGAAGATATAGGAGGCAGTCTTGGGGGATGCAAATCCGGGGTGACTATTTCTCGTAGAGGACTTCTCCTAGTTGGCCCATGGATGCCAAATAAGAGGGAGTCCTGATAAGTATGCAGGGGACCTCTTGTTCCCAGAGTTGAGACAGACAGAAACAGAGGGACTATTCTAAGAGCTGTGTTGTTTCCAACAGGAGGAAGAGTACATGTACTGAGAGATGAAAGACCAGGGGAGGAAAAATGTGGGCGATCAGACCAGAGCCCAGATAGGAAGGTCTGGGCTTCCTTTTCCCAGGCTTTTCATTGATGCCTCTCTGTTCTTATTTCTAGTGATGGGAAATAGCATCCCAGATCCCGGGTCCTGGTTATAACTATCCCCGCCAAGGAACAGAGACAGCTGAGAATGTTTTCCAGCGTATTTACTCTTCTCATAACACAACGGTAATATCTAGCTAGAGGAGGCTGATGCTTCCCACTAGCAGTAGCACGTGTGCCTGAGACCAGGTGGGAAAGGCCCGGGCACCACCAGAAACCTCCTAAAACCAAGATAATCTAACTCCGGGGCGTGCTTACAAGCCGACATCAGTAAATGGGATGCTATATTCAGAAGGATATACGCTAGGTTCCTAGTGCATGAGTATTTCTGGTTCCTCCTATTTCAACTGCGAAAATTTAGAGATATTATTTCATTAGCTTTCACAGCATCTCAGGAAGTCACTAACTCAGAGAATGGAAAAGAACACAAGATATTTTTAGTTATCATTTTACCCAGTTTTCAGCTTCACAGAAGTCTTGGGCTATCCAAAATAGGGATCTGTCTTCCCTGTCTTTAAAATACATGATGTTCAGGAATAGTTAAAATGCACGTGGAGAGATGGCAGGGAGTCTACAGACGTGGCCCCATCATGGAAAAGGGAAGCTGAGTTATTAGTTATCAGACGGGAGGCCGTACCTCTCAGGCAGCAGAATAAACCAACAGGGTGGGGACTGAAGCCCTCAGACCCAGAGGGTGGTTAAGAACTGACACCATGACATATATGAAGGTGGGCTCTACCACACCAGCTGTGTGGCCTTGGACAACTTACTTAACCTCTCTGGGTCTTAGTTTCCTTTTCTGTTCAATCATGGTGAATGATATACACCTTCCAAGATTATGGTGAGACTAAAAGTGACATTAAATGTAAAGCCTTTCTGCAGCACAACGTCTGGACCCAAGAAACATACCTTTATTCATTCACTCAATACAATTTTTCCTGAGGGCTTACCACGTGCTCAACGTTTTTCTAGGCACTTGGGCTACGGCGGGGAGAAACTGACAAAATTCTTCACCCTTGAGGCACTTACAGTGTAGTGGGAGGAGGCATTTCGGGAAGCAATATACATTGCCAATACAATATCCTCTGTGAGGAAGTGGGAGGAAGTCAGGCAGGAGAAGGAAGCATGGGAGTGTTGTGTAGAATTAAGCAGGGTAGCCATGATAGGTCTCATTGAAGAGATGACCCTGGGGCCGAGAGCTGGAGGAAGGGAGGAGATGAGCTGCAGGGCTGTGTGGGGAAGAGCATGCCAGGGAGAAGCAAGGCCAGCAGAGAGCTCCCAGTCTTTGGGCTGTGTATTTGAAAATAGCAAATAAGCCACAGTATTTGGAGTAAGATGAGTTGAGAGGAGAACCAGACAACCAGGAAATGCTATTTTATTATTATTATTTATAATGATGATTAATTGTTACTGGTTCTCCAGGAGATCATGCTTTCCCCAATGCCATGAGAGAGACACTGAAACATGGGAGTCCAAGAGACTGGGGCAAATAGTCTTATTTGAATGAGAGGAGTGACTCCGGGGCAGAAGGAAGCTTTCTTATACCCCAGCAGTGGCTATGAAATTTACTATGAAATGAGAATCCTGGGAGGCATCCACACCACCTAAAGCCTCCCTTGGTGCTATAACAAAAATCCCCCGAACGGAAGTCCTAAGTCACCATTTTCAGTAGTCCCTGAGACCTCAGTCTGTCCCCACAGTGAAGTAACTGACTACAGAATTCCCTATGAAAACCTGAGGGCAATGATCCTTGTCATTCCTGGCTCTGTCCACACCACGAGGTCCCCTCCCCCACCCCCTGCCTGTCCGCCCTCCCTGTGCAGCCCCTCCCCAGGCTGCTCTGTGCTGCCTTCACACCCGTGACTCTCAACCTTGGGAATTAAGCTTGATTCTCCACCTGGAAGGCCTGTGAAAACACAGATCGTTGGCTCCCTCCGGAGTTCCTGACTGAGTAGGCCTCAGATGGAACCTGAGAATTTGCCTTTCTGACAAGTTCCAAGGTGATGCTGTTGCAGCTGGTGGTCCGGATCACGCTTAGAGAACCACTACTCTATATGAATTCATTCTCTCAACACTTTCCTTGCTTCCTCTGGGACCAGTAATATGGCAAACAACTCTCCCTTTACCCTTGACCTTGGCAAATACTCTTCCCTGTCTCCGTGTCCCTGTGTTGGCGGAAACTTGCCTGAAACATTCGTCCACACAGAGGAATCCTCCCATGCCCCAGTCCCTCAGCCTCTCTTGACCTCCTACAAACAATTTACTGCTCTCTGTGTATATATGTAAGAGTCCCCCCACCTTAAAAACTCACCTGCCTCTTCCTATTTCTCCCGGCTCACTTCCTGGCCATTCTTCTACATCCATGGAAAATTCTGGCATCTGGTTCATTCTCCACTTCATTTCTCATCACTATTTTGGGTGACTTCACTGTCCACATGAAAGACCTCTTTAAAACTAGAACCACCCCCTCCCCCGGCCCCGCCAGCTGGCAAGAGTCAGTCATTGTCTGAGACCTTCTCCAGCTTTGAAACGGTAAATCCCAACATCACATATGGTGAACACAACCTCCTTTCAAGCTTCCTGTATTTCCCTCCACCAAATCTGTCCTTCAGCCCGCAGGTCTTTTGGCTCCACCATTCCCTCCGGGCATCAGCTCTGTATCTACATCCTTCTCTACCTGACATAATCCACAGGGCCCATGGCCTGTGCCCTCAACCAGCTTGCTCCATCCTTGGCCTCTTCTCTGCCTTCATCTAGGATGCTGGGGTCTGCTGGGGGACAGTCCAAGCCATTGAACTAGACGGTTCTGCTCAGCCTGCCTTGGCATGACTTTTTTCTTTCCTGCTCCAAGCCATCAGCAAATCCTTTCAGTTCTACCATCAAAATAATTTAGAACCAAACCACTTCTCGCCACCTCTCTCATGAGCATCCTCTCTCCTCTGTCCCTGCCATTGCCTTGGCTCCCCACTGGACCTGCTACTTGGAGTCCACTCTCAGCACAGCAGGTGAATGAGCCTGTGAAACGCTAAGCCCCATCATGTCCCTCTTCTGCTTGAAGTGCTCAGCACTTCCCTGCTTAGTCCCAGGCCGAGTCCCCATCCCTGCGCTGGGCCCCTGGGAGCTCGTCTCCATCTTCTCTCTTCTCCATCCCTCACCACCAAAGAGGCCTCCTTTCCCATCTTAAAACACACCAGGCATCTCTGTCCTGTTGCTCCTCTATCTGGAATGATCTTCCCTGGGTATCTTTGTGTCTTCCTCCTTCACCCTCTTCCCAAACCACACCAGTTAAAATGCTGCCCTGTGTACTGCTTATCCCATTTCCCTGCTAGTCAGTCTCCATAACATACATCACCATCTGAAATATTTGTTTTACTATCTTTTGTAGTTTGTCCACCCTGCTGAAATCTAAGCTCCAGGAGGCAGGGGTTTTGCCCCCTAATGCCTAGACCAGGTATTTAGTTGGGGTTTAATATGTGTGGTATGATTTGATGCATTTATGAAATCAGATTACACAGTTTTTGAAAACAAATTCTGAGTCTAATTTTTGTTGTTTCTGTAGTATCTAATCCCAGGGCTCAATAAATGCCAAAGGAAGGAAGGGACAAGGATTTATGTTTGGCATCAGGAAAGAAGGATGGATGCTGGGGGGAGTGATGGATGAGAGCTGGCCTTCACTTCGTGAAGCTTCACAGAGAACTCTTGCAAGGCCATGCCCCAGCCCGGAGATGAGGCTGGTCTTATCACTGACATGAGCTCGTTCTTCCCCGGGAAGGACGCTCTCAGTAGAACATGGGTGGCAACTCACTTGCTCAGTGGCTTCAGTGTCATGATGTGGTAAAATTCTTCATAGAAAGTATCTGGTTTAGGAAAAGTGTTCATATAAGGAGTAGTCTGGCTTCCTGCTGGATCATTAGGAGCTAAGTTGTATTTATGATCACCATCTGGGTTTGAAGGAGGCAAAGCATATGGTTTTTCGGTAGAGCTGCTAGAACTGTATTAATTTGTGAGGATCCCCTCAATGAGTCCACCTCATTAATCTGCACGTTTGCCCTGTATGGGACTCCCTCCTGGTGGAAGAATAAAAGCACGTGGGGATGCTACCTCATTGTCTCAGCATGAAATTGACTTTCCTGCGTGCAGCTGGTCTGCTGGGATTTCAGATACTCTCCTTCGTCGGGGAGCCCACATGAGCAGAAGCACATCTTGATTCACTTTGGGGGCTGGAATTAACCCAAAGGAGCCCCACAGAGAAACAGAATAGCGGTCTTTCCAAGGCACACTACTCTATGTTGGCCCCTCTTTACTCCAGAGTTCCTGTCTGTCCATCTATTTCTGCAGGTAGCACTGTGCTGCAGATCTACCTGCTCATCACCTCTCTGATGCCCCACCACCAGCCTGCTGCCTATTTAGCAAGCAAGTCCAAGGTGCCTACTGTGGCCGGCAAGGACACAAGCAAATTCTCCAAAACAGAATTAGCTGGGGCACCTTCTCATCACCTGCTCCTCTCTGGCTTGAAGTAAGAAATCAACAGATGATGACCTAAGGGTGCCAGGAGGCCTCTCCCGATAGCCTCTCATCTGAGGGTTTTCAACCCCAGACTCTGCTTTCATCATCAAGGGATTTCGAGACCTTCAAAAGTCATTTGGTCAATACCCTATAAGCCAGGCAGCACTCATTCCGGTGAGAAGCACATCTGTCTTATATGTAAAGGTCTCCACTGAAATCCTGAAAGGGAGAATTTTTTTTTTTCTACCTAACTTGAACACTCTTTTTTTTTTTTTAATGTAGGTCTTTTTTCGTTCAGAAACAAAGAAAGGTTTTCACTCTTTTACACAATGACCTTCTAAATAATCTGATTTAACATCATAGGCAAAATGGGAATTGATGTCAAATAATGAGTCTGAGTGCTGACTCTGTTCAGTGCTCATTTTGTGACCCTGGTCAGCTGTTCACTTGACTCTGCATCTCAATTTCCGCATCTATAAAATGGGGGCAATATTCTATCCATTCAGTAAATCCTTATTGCGTCCCTATTAGAAAGCAGACTCTGCATGGTTAGTGGTAGCATTTCCAAATTAACAGAGACATTGATGCTGGAATTCTAGGCTGAGCCAGTTTCAATCAGGGAAATATTGTGGCTAAGCACATTGCTGGTACCCCTGAAATCATTATGTCCCCTGACTCCTGCTGTATCAGGTTGACTACAAGGGGCACGATGTTAGAATGTATACTTCCTAGCATTTACTGAACAGTTACTATGGGATGGGCACTTAAAAAAATACCGTAAATTCACTCATTTAATTCTTACTAGAATCCTATCAGGTGGGGTACTATTATCCCTTCCCCCATTTTATAGAGTAGTAAACTGAGGGATGAGGTGAAGTAAACTGCTCAAGGTCAAGTACATAGCAGAGCAGGAATTTGAAGGTGGATGGTCTGACTCCAGAGCCTAAGATTGTCTGTAACCAGTCAGTCACCGTGCTGCCTTCCTTTTATGTGTTAGGGACGTAATAGTGAGTAAACCAAACCAGACTCTGCTCTCCTGGAGGTCACTGTCCAGTGAGGTAGATATTGAACACATGATTCTAATAACAAACGGAGATGAATGTGCTGAAGGAAAGTAACATGATACTGTGAGAACATCTAGCAGTCGCCCTTGACCTCTTGACTGTACCAAGGAAGGGATACCTGACCCGAAATCTGCAGGCTGAGAGAAGCTAGTTAGTTAATCAGGGGTGGGGGTAAAGGGTGTTCAAGGTAATGAGACGGACATGTGCAAAGGGCCGGTGGTAGGAGTGGGAATGGTGTGGAGGACCTGAGAAAGGCAGTGAGGCTGAAATGCAAAGATTGATGGGGAAAGTGGATGAGAAGAGGCTGGAAAAGTGTGCGAGGGTCACCTCATTTAGGTCCTAATGTGTCTGTTAAGTATTTTGGTCTTTGTCACAAGAAGAATGGCAATCCATTAAAGAGTTTTAAGAAGGGGCCTTAATATGATCAGATTCCTGAGTTGAAAAGAACAGTGTCACACACATTAAATGAGGTGATAAATGTGAGAATCCTTCCAGAAGCTGTAAAGTGTTACAGCATCAGTGATTTTAGTTAAGGTAGGTCTGGTCACTCTCTCCCCTGTGCATCACCGTGCACACCCCTTGATCGCTGCAGGCTTGTACCCCTCATGGGCAGCCTGATACACCTGGAGCCAGGAGCCATCTCAGGCAACTTGAGGAGCCAGCAATCGGCTTGGCCACACTGTTTCCCTTCCTGAAACCTGCACGCCTGAGCTCCCTGCGATGGCCCATGTGTCCGCTCATGTGCAAATCAGCCCTATTCCCCTGGAGAGCCCGCAGTGGTTGGTTGGAGCCCTGTTCTTGGTGTGAGAGCCCCGCGGAAGGGATGCCCAAGACGGCCAAATCCTGGCTGTGGACAGCATGTGCTAAGCCTCAGAGCCGGGGACACTATCAAGACCCGCCACGGGGCATGGGGAGGAAAGGGAGTTCCCGCAAGTGTGCTGTTTGCACAGATGTCCACATCTGTAGCCTTTCTATGTTTTAATTCAAAAGAACTCTGCTGATGTGCACACACATATGAAGAGAGGAATCCCAAGGGCAGAGGTCACAGGACTCCACCATGTACCTAAGCACCTGGTGTGTTACTGTGCGTGCCCAGGGGTTTTGCCAGTGTGTCCTCCCGGCTCCCTGACCCCCAGTGTGTGAGATAATGGGGTACCGTGAGGATCTCTGCCGGAGGCAGAGGTGGAGGAGTACTCCCAGACACGTGCCACTCCGGGGCTGGGTCTTGAGTTCTCCCCCTTCCCTGTGGAACCCCAGGTTGTTCTGTTTGACTCCCTTGCTCCCGCTTCCGTCACGGCGAGGGGAGGCCCCTGAGGCGTCCCTCTGCAGGCTCTGCTGTCACTTACCCTGGGCCTTGACATCATCCACCACGGGGCAGGGGGTCTTCACAATCACATCGCTGGGCCTGGAGCGCCGTCCGGTGTTGTCCACTCCCCACAGGGTGAACCTGGCAGACGGGGGAGGGCGTCATTAGCAGAGAGAAGCTGAGACCCAGGCTGATGGCCACGCTGGGCGGGTTTGCACCAGGGCACAGAGCAGTGGTTCTCAACGTGGGGCCCTCAGACCCGCAGCGTCAACATCACCTGGGGACTTGGTAGCAATGAAAACTCTCCCACCCAACCCCAGACCGACTGAAGCAGGCTCTCACAAGCCTTCTAGGTGAGTCTGATGCCACTTACACGCTGACGGCACCCGAGCCGAGGGAAGGAGTAGAAACTTGGGTCAGAACTCGGGTTGGGTCTGAAGCCCGGCTGCTGGGAATGTGATGACGTGCCTGGGGGCAGGGCCGGGACCACACCTGGGGACTCCGTGGGAAGCCTGGCCTCCTGGCTGTCAGGTAGGCCTAGGCCAGTGCTGGGCATGCCCTCCTCCCTACACCGGGCGGCTCAGTCCGTCCCACTGGCCTCTCCTCCTTGGTTCAGATCTACCTTCTTGCCTGGTACTAAACCCTGCCCTGACCCTGCAACCAAATTCTAGCACCCTGCAATGTTTCTCTCCCTGCCACCTCCCCTTCTCTCCTCCTCAGTCTGAGTGGGCTCTTTGCATCACACCAGCCCCACACAGCTTCCCAGGGGCTGCCTGGATCCCTACCAATGGCACCCCCCCGAAATGTTTTCATCTCTGGTTCTCCCACACACCTGATCAGCCCAGCTGGTATGTGCTGTTTCTAGAATTGTGGCTGAGGCCACCAAACTGAAGCTGGGGCATCTGTCTGGAACCTTGCTCTGATCTTGAGTCTTGTCCTACAACCCGGGTCTCAGGCCGGGTCTCAACTCTTTCCTCTGCCTACCTACTCCAGACTCTCTTGAGCTAAGGTTCTCAGGGATGGGCCCAGAGGCAGCCAGGACAGCCCACAGACCTGCGCCTGCCATCTGGGGTTCCCACACATGGACACGGTTCCCCCCGCACACACCTCTGTCCCCACCATGGAGCAGGAGTGCTAGGGAGAGAGAAGTGAGAGCCTCGAAGGATGACCACCATCCTGCAAGCCGTGCTGGGACCGACCTCTAAGGTCCGAGTGAACCCCCCTCTCTCACAGGACACCCTTCTGCGTGGGAAGCCCGGCTCCCCCCACCAGAGGTGGGCCACCTGATCCTTGCGGCAGACTCTGCCCTGACTCTGCCGGGGGCAGGCAGTTCTCACCAGAGTCTGGAGATAGGAGGCCCCGTTCTCTCCCATGCCAGTGCACGGGCACCCTGCTCCTAGCGCCCGGTCTCACCACGGGCTTCTCTTCCTTCCTTGCACCTCCCCACCCACGTGTCTGAGCCTGCGCTCCTGTGCCCCTGGCCTGGTTCAGCCACTGTGATCCAGCCCGCCCAGGGCGCTATCCTCTGTGAGACGGCTCTGCCTTGTCTTTTCCTCTCCACCTTCCAGGGTCCTGAGCACGGCCAGCGCTGCAACCTGATGTGATGCTGCCCACCTGTCTGTTTAACGTCACCTGCCCTAGACAGTCTGCGGCCGGGCTCCAGCCACTTTTTGTGGCCCACCATTACTTAGCTCTTTAATTTCTAGCAGAGTCCCTGACTGAGATGAGAAATGTCCTGAGCCTCGAGCACCAAACTGGCTATCAGAGGGACCCTCTGCCTTGGTGCCCGGGAGCCTGGGACGTGTGACCACCCCCCCCCCCGCCCCGGCTGCTCCCACTCCTGCGGGCAGCTTCGCTCTGTGCCCTCCTTGCGGTAAGCTCTCCACTAACTCGATCGGATCCCGAGCTGGAATGAAAATGCCTGTGCTTAGGTGAATTCTCACATTACTCTGGCGGGGCAGTTAGTACAAAAGTTAGGGCCCAGAGCCCTACTATTTCTAATAGCAAAGCAAGGTGTTAGGAAAGAAGATGCTTCCCCTAACCTCCTAAGCAGAGACGGCACTTATCCTAAGAGCCCTTCCTCAGCGGGCCACCCCGTAGGCCCTGGAGGGACGCTGACAGCAGCCAGCTTAAATTTACCACCAAAGCCCAGGGGGCACTTTCCATATTTTCATGGGGAAGGGCTGCTCCGTTCATTGTCAGCGTTCTGGTTTCCACCATCGAGCACTCGCAGGGCAGCGAGAAGGTGAGCTGGAATGAGTGGACAGGAGAGAGAAGCCTGACTCCCAAGCCGGAGGGCTAATGTGGGAGTACATTTGCTGCCTCGTCCAAGACTCCTGGGCCCTTTCCACCGCCACCTGGCTGGATTGTCCAGCCTGTCCTTAGAGTCTGTGATGACACCTGCATGGTGTGTGTGTGGGTGTGAGTGTGTGTGTGTGAGAGAGCGAGGGTGTGTGTGGGTGTGAGAGATTGTGGGGTGGGAGTGTGTGTGAGAGGGTGTGTGTGAGTGTGAGAGCGAGAGTGTGTGGGGTGTGAGTGTGTGTGGGTGTGTGAGAGTGAGCGTGTGAAGGTGTGTGTGGGGGTGGGTACGAGTGTGTGTGTGCGTGTGGGGGGGATATGAGAGTGTGTGAATGTGTGTGAGGGTATGAGAGCGTATGTTTGTGTGTGTGTGTGTGTGTGAAGATGTGTGAGAGGGTACGTGAGGGTGTGTGAGTGAGCGTGTGAAAGTGTGTGAGAGGGTACGTGAGAGTGTGAGTGCATGTGTGAGAGTGTGTGGGGGGGATACGAGAGTGTGTGAATGTGTGCGTTGAGTGAGCGTGTGAGATAGTGTGTGGGTGTGTGTGTGTGAGAGAGTGAGTGTGTGTGAGGTTGTGAGAATGAGAGAGTGTGTGAGGGTGTCTGTGTGAGTGAGAACCGACAAAGCCTGGCTCCGGCTCCTGAAACTTGGTGTGCAAGGAGCACCCTGGCCGTGTCCAGGGCTGGCTGCCTCATGTGCTTCTCTCACGCGTCCCTGCGCACGTGTGGCGGGTTCTGCGGAGGGCTCCGAGTCCACTCCCCCCCCTTTTTTTTTTTTTTTTAAGATTTTGAGAAAGCGAGAATGAGAGAGAGCACATAAGACGGGGAAGGGTCAGAGGGAGAAGCAGACCCCCCGCTGGGCAGAAAGCCCGATGTGGGACTCGATCCCGGGACTCCAGATCATGACCTGAGCTGAAGGCAGTCGCTTAACCGACTGAGCCACCCAGGCGCCCCACCCACTCCCCTTTTCCGAACTGTCCGTCGGCTCCTGCTCGCTCCCAAAGGCAGTAGTTCTCCTGTGAGCACAGGCTGGGACGAGGGGCGTGGGCTAGAAAGGGAGTCACCTCCCCGCTCGGGCCTCAGTTTCCTTCTCTGTAAACTGAAGATGTCAAACCAGACACACTTTAAGATCTCTTTCCACCAGGGAATTAAATGTTTTTGTACTGTGGACCCAGAATTCTCACAATCGCACAGGCTGACAAAATAAGCCAGCTACGCTGAAACGCCCTTCCACCCCCATGAAGGCAGCTCCACGCTTTCACGTGAGGAAATGAGATCATGCTGCTAGATCCTTCCGGTAGCCTGGAGTGGCTGCGGAGTAAGAAGCAGTCAGCGAAGAAAACGCAAACCCTGATTCAATTCTTAACCACCGCCACACCCCAGACAACCAGCTTGCGACTCTGTGTTGCTGAAACTCAGTTTCCTCAACTATGAGATGAGAGCAAGACCCCAACCTCACAGGGTCCCCGAGGGTTCCCAGGGCCTCCCGCACCCAGTAAGCACCCCACAAGTGAAGGCCGAACCCTCCCTTTTAATGATAAGGAAACTTAGTTGCAATCCTGCTTACAATGACTAGCGCTTAGAAACAGAACCAGGCTTGGGCGCCTGGGTGGCTCAGTTGGTTGAGCGACTGCCTTCAGCTCAGGTCATGATCCCGGAGTCCCGGGATCGAGTCCCGCATCGGGCTCCCTCTTCCTCTGACCCTCCCCCCTCTCATGTGCTCTCTCTCTCTTTCTCGCTCTCTCAAATAAATCTTTGAAAAAAAAAAAAAAGAAAGAAACAGAACCAGGCTCTGGGCCATGTGTTTCCAGCAATTAATCCGGGGCTCTGTACTCCTACCAGACTCTGAAGGTCTGGCTTCAAGCTACAAGGAGGCCAGGCTCTCCCAGGCCCTCCAAGGCCCTCTTCGCGTGATCTGCAGCGCCACCTAGTGGAGCGCCACCTAGCCAGCGGCTTCTTCCCTCTGTCCCAAGCGCTCTGACTTCATCATCAACACAGACAGAAAGCTGGTGCTTTACGAGACTTAAGAGGGCAACGCTGGAAGTTCACCAAAGACTGCAGTGAGGGAGAAGGTATCAGTCTCAGGTCTTTGATCAGGAAACGTGGCCAAATCAGGCCAACGTGAGGAGGGTCCCAAGATGGGTGAGGGCTGGTTCACAGGAATTTCAAAACTCCTAATTAACAGCTGTGACTTAGTGACAAGAATTAGGGAGCTCTTATTTTAAGTGAGAATTCCAGCTTCACTGAGTTTGAGGCATTTTACTGCACCATCCTTAATCTTTCCTCCTTTTGCCTGTTTCCCCTCCTCATAAAGGGCGACACCTGCCCAATAGCAAGAGAGCTGCTAAAAATCCTAAGTTGGTCAGCTTTCCCTTGTTATGGAACCATCCTTTCCATTTCTCTGTATTTTCCAGCTCTTCTAGAATATCCCTAGTCTTGACATATTTTACTAGTATGGCCCCCTAGTTACATCTCTTTCCAAGATGGAAGCCATTCAGCCTGAGCATCTCCTTTACTTGCAGTCAATGCCACTCACATTTCTAGTGCTTTTTACCTTTGAGTTCTTTACCTGTGGAAATGGAGATGATTTATTCTGGCTACTCTGACTCTATTCTTGTGACCTCATCTGTAAACTGTAAACTGTTTTTCATACCAATGGGGTCAAAAGGTCCCAGAACTACATCACCAGGAATTCTGCCTTGCCCTCCCTCCCTGTTTTCCCCTCATGACTTAGATTTCCTCAACCTCTCTCCTCTCACAAGAGCGTCTTTTATGTCTCTGCTTCACAACTATTTTACTATTGTTCCAGGAGCACAGGGAGAAATGAGGAAGCGCTCCCAGAGAGAACAGGGCTGTTCCAAGTGCCATGAGATAGGAGTCCACCATATTTTCCTTGGAGAAAAATGCTGACCATCTCTACCTCTATAAACTATTTCGACGTCACTGGAGCTAGCTTTCTAAAGCAGAGTTCTTACTATTCTTTCGTCTAAAAAAATTAATAATCTCCCTTGACTTAGAGCATTCACTCTCTTTTTCCAGAATCACTTTCTTCCATTCCCTTTTACTCACCATCTGCTTCCACTTGATTGGACTACTTGCTACTCACCTTCATGCCTCTTTGCTTTTGCCCTTGCTGGTTCCTCAGCCTGCTCTGCCTTTTCCCACATCACTCTACCTACCGAAATTCTACACGACCCCAGTGAGTGATGTCCACTCTAGTTAGAATTAGCCACTCCTTTCCCTTCTCTTCTGCATGTTCCTTGTTCTTCCATCTAGCCTCTATGTCGTCCTATCAGATGTTAAATTTAGCTGTTTGTATATTTCCTTTCTGTGTTGCAAACTCTTTGAAGGATGGGGCTCTCTTGTCTTTCTTAATCCTCCCTTTCCAGTCCCTAGAAAGTTCTCTATAACCGATCAGGGTAAGACTTGAGAAACTCAAAATATTTTTCCGAGTTTCTGAAGGAACTCAAGCACGAAAAGGAAGGAGCTCAGAGCCTCAGGACGTTCAGGGTAAGGAAAAGCCAGGCAGGCGTGTCACTCACATGTAGATGGTGTCCGGTTCCAGGCATCGAACGATCAGAGAGATAGTGGTGAGCTGCTTGTCTGGTACCCGAGCGGGCATGGCACAAGGAGACTTTGCTCCAGAGATGATGTCGTCCACAAAGCTCAGCACCGTTTCTGCCCCGGGTGGGGGGGTGGGGGGGGAGGAATGGAAAAGGCCGTGAGAAACAGTGCTGGCCAAGCAAGGAGATGGCATCAGTTCAATGAGAACTTAACATTAGAACTGCTTGGTCCCCAGTCTTCTCAAATTCCTAGTAGAGAAAAAGACCTAGAAGGAATTGTCTTTTCTGTTTCATGTTTAATCAATTTAGAGCCATTTGTCCGGAGTGAGTTCAGACACAACTATGGCAAGATGTACACACATGTGTGAGCTCTTTTATGAAATGTTCTTGGCAAGGGTAGGGAGCAGCTGCTGAGGGCAGTGGTCCCTGCCAGCCCTTTGCAGTACCTGTGCGCATCAGGGACAGGGCCTCGGAGGAAGCGGGAGACAGCTCCCCATACCTCAAGGCCGTGCATATGTCTCCCAGCCTCGCTGACCATTTTGGCAGAGCTTGTTCACCCTGCATCAGACTGTGGACGCCACCATCCTGTGGGGGACCACACTCACGCGTAGGTTTTAGGGATGATTTATGTTGACCTTTCCCTATGTGTAGGCAGCAAAATACTAGGGCATGGAACATTGTTCATGGGGTGTTTCCACTTCTTGAAAACTTCCCTCTTCTAGCTGGACCTGGCAACTGCAGAGTTTGCTTTAGGACAAGACATGGGGTAACATCTGTTTGCGCATGCTTTTGCCCAAAGGGGGGTTATTAGCAAAGGAATTTTTTTTTTCCTGTAATCATGGCAGTGGTTAGCACAGAATTGTTTCTTAATTGTGGGCTAGGATAACTAGTGTACTGTACTGTTGTTTCTTTGTGAGTGTGCCTAGAGGCAATGAAATGGACACCTCTTTAATAAACAAAAAGAAAAACAAAATCAAAACAAGACTTTGTCAGATGCTCACCATGCAAAAACTCTTAAATGGACGAGATGGCTGTTCTTG